ACTGGCAAGAAGTCTGTAAAGACCATTTTAAGGCAGGCTTGGTTGTACTTTCAAGTAACTGATAGAGTTAGGTAAGGTTTAACATACTGCTTTCTTTTTTAGGGATACTAAACACCTTTTGTAATTTTTGGGCCAAGATTTTTGAACTGGATAAGTGTGTTTCATATAATCTAAAAGAACCCTTGGTTTTGGTGGCATTAACTCTATACTTTGAAGTATGATTCTGTGGGCTTTTTGTTACACTGGTAGTCTAAACACCTATGGTCCTAATATGAGCATGATACATTGTGGTGTTGATCACTTCCTTATTCAACTACCTGCAAAGAACAGTGCCATAATAAACTACAGGGAAAATACTGGAAAGAGTGTGATACAGAGCAAAATGAAACATTGTAGGGCCTACACTGAGGGTTCAGTGACAGTCCACACAGTGTTTTTGCTGTAAGGCTGCATGCTGTTTGTATGTGATAGCACTTCCGATGTAGTGCGTGTAGATTATGTTAATAAATAAAGTTATTTTCCACAAGGAGATTTAAGTACCAGTAGACAGAAGCACTGCATAAAAGTAACTGTGCCAGTCTTTCTGTAAATTGTTTTAAAATAGTCTGTTGAAGAAGGTGCTGTTCCAAACAGTCAGGTTTAAAATCCTGATAAGGAATGAATTGTTGTAAAGTGTTTTGTTCCGAAGCTGTATGCTGAATTGTCCTGGCAGATAGAGTTCCTCATTCTTTCAGGGCTGGATTTTCACTGAGCAATTAGATGAAGTTACCTACGTTTGAACTGAATCCTAAAGTTAACCTAGCTGGAGTGAAAACGATAATGCTTAAAACTGGTACATAAATCACTTTTTGGAGCTGGGTTTTTAACTGCATTAGTGAGAAATATGTTCTTTGACTCACCGGTTTAAATTGAAAAAAACCCCACCAAAACAAAGCAAAACCAAAAAACCACCGAGAACAGTTTTGTGTGTGATTAGGATAGGGTATTACTCAATTTATACGTATGACCGGTGCAGAAACAGAGAACGTCTCTAAATTCAGCAAGTGGTGTGTGTTGCTCTAAAGGCAGCAAGTGACTCATGTGACTGTCTTAGCAGCTGGGCAGCAAGATTAGAGAGCTACTATGTACACATTCCCTTACTGAGGGGTCCAAGCTATTGCTAAATGAAGTTGTATTCCTGCCAACAACTGAATAACGGGCATAAGAAAATATAGTAAATGAGTGTGTCATCAGGTTAGTGCAGTAGTTCAGGCAGTTATTAAAGTGAAAGGAAAAAAACCCAAACCAACAGGCAAACAACCAAAACACAAAACTTCTAACTTTTCCAAGATTCATATTTAAAAGTTTTTTGTCCTTTTTTCAAAGACTCCCACTTCATATGAGATTACATGTTAATTGTCCCTTTCAATTTGCAGATTTGCAAAAATCATCCTGAAAGGGTTGTTTCTGACACCACAGGAAAAAAATAACGTGAGTGAAGAATCTTATTGCAGAGAACTCACTTATTTGTAAAAGTACTAAAAATATGCTTGTATCATGAAGTATTTTGATTTGAACTGAAATTGGCAAAGCATATACTTCTTGGTCACTTGCTAATTTGAAGACTTATTCGTGATGTTATCCGTCATGTATTTCCTAATTGTAAGAATTTGTGAAGTTTTTCCAAATTGTCTTTAAGTTTTCCTGGCATACCAGTATGGATTAGTGGAATAGGTATTCTTTTACTTTTTTAATGTTTCCCTAATCTGATTTTTTTTTTCTTTTTTTTTTACTCGGACACTTGCTTTTCTTAAGAAAGTTGCTAAACACTTGTGAGTGCTTTGTCCTATAAAGGACATGTATTGTATATGTATATGTACTTACAGTTGCACATTGATATTTCAACTGTTATTTATGGATTTATATTCAGAAGTGTCATCCTGTCAAACATCTCCTTAGGACTAACCCTCAGAGAACTCAGTTGTGAGGACCAGAGGACATAACGCTTGACAGTTGCAATCAAGTAAATTGATATACAAATCAGGAAGACATAAATATGAAGCTCCTTAGTGCTATGTTTAGTGTCAACTTTCAGACCATAATTATATTTTAAAGATGATAATGTGTTTGCCAAAGCAGAACTTTTAAATGTAAAAGGCCAAGACAGATGAGAGGTCAAGCCTGTGATAAATTCCTTATAGTAAAGAGGATCAGAAGGGTGTGTGTTCCTAGCCATCATCACTGCATCCTGCTGCCCTCAAAAAGATAAATTGGTTTTGATTTTTCTGCTTCAGGTTTTCTGGATTTCTGCTTTCTCTCTTTTCATGCTTAGTAATGACTTGTTTCCCACCTTGTTATTCATTCAAAGTTTGTGCAGTTTTCCTCAACAACGTCTTTTATTTATATCTCTAAGGAAAAAAAAAAAAGGAAACATAAAATAAGGTTGTCTGGAGATACCAGTGCGTGTGAAAACTACCTTCTCAAGGTGGAACATCACCTTAATAATACTTCAAAACACCTTGTTGATCTGGCCCTTTTAGTTTTGCATGTGCTTAGGTTTCTGCATAATCAAATCTCTTATTGTTTAGTATTTTGAAATATTTGATTTATAGGAAATGATGTTCAGTTTGGTTTTTATTTTGATTCATCCTCTCATGAATGTTTCATTACTATTTTTTTAATGTATCATTTCCTAGTCCCAGATTGCTTTTCTACTCTGCTTTCATAATTTTTCAGTCACATATTACTCATCAGTTGCAAAAGAAAAATGTTTGTGTGCTTATTTCTGCACAGTCTGATGTTGCTCTGTGACACAGGAGCAGTAGAAAACAGTGTATTTCTGTATTGATAAGTGGTTTACAAATAAAGCACTAGCAGATTGTGGCCAAGGACATACCTGCAAAATATGTTGATCCTCTAACTACTTGAATGCTTCAGTGGATTTCTGTGTGCTATTCTTAACACATTCCTTGAGATGAACCATCAGAAATGTTCATCTGCCAGCAGAGTTTCAGGTCCTGAGTCTTGCTGCCCTGTTTTAACGTACTGCAGCAGCTTCCTGGGCTCAGACTTCTCTTCAGGGAAGAACTCTGCCGTCATGCAGGTTGTGTTGAGCTGCTTCTCTTTCTTCTGCAACATACTTGTGTTTGTTTAGAGCACCTTCTGCACAGCTGGAAGAATTATGTAAAATAAACAGCTGTCCTGAGGGGATATTTGCGGGAACTTGGACTTTGGCTTGTTTGTTCTTTTCAAAATGACGCCCAAAATTTCTTAGCCACAAATTTGTGCTGCTCCACTGAACCAAAGAGGGAACTATCTTCACATGGATTCTAAGGAGGAAAGCTCTTAAGTGACCTCTATGAAAATAGTACAATCTTTTCTTTAATAAATTTATTTTCCAAGTGGCTGAGGAGATACGTCATACTTACGTGAGGTTGCCACTTGTAGGCAGGCATGGCTTAAGAAAGGAATAGGAAAGATTCTTGTTTGATATAATCCTCCCCTTTTCCTTCATGCCATTCTGTATTAGGATAGGGAACTATGGTGATGTTTACTTCTTAGGGTTGTTAGAAAATCACAGATATTTTGAAGGAAGCTGAGGTGCTGTTTCTGGTGCTGCTTCTGCCCTTCTGATGAGAGTTTCCCAGTGTTGCTGTGGTGGTGTGTGCCACCTGCCCAATATGATTTCCTTTGGCAGGAAGACCTACAGCTAAGAAGACAAGAAATGGCTTAGGGGAAGTTGATGGCTCTTTTTTTTTTTTTTTTTTTTTTTAATAAAGCTCAGCCTGTGCTCTCAGACAGCATTTCTTACGGCTAGAGTTGCAGTCTCGCTGCCTTGCTTGCGCTGGGGAGGCCTGGCAAGTTGGCTGGAAGTTGTAAGTTGATCAGAAGTGACTCTTCAGCTCTTCGGTTTCAGATGTGATCTTGGTATTTGGCTCTCTTAAGGAGTGATGAGCTTCCCAGTGATCTGAGAGAATTTCAGTAGCCTTTGGAAAGAGAAATCTTGGTTCTGCTGTCCTCTTGAGAAAGCAAGCCTTCTGGGGCAAGCTGAAAAGTAAAGCATGAGAAGGATTGGAGCCTAGATAACTGAAGCACTCTTCTCCAGTAACTATAGATACTGTGGTCTTTCACAGGAGAGCAGTAGAGAGGAAGAATGTTTGTTTCTAAGCACTGATGACTGGGTAAGAATAAATAGAACTAAAGGAGGCTTTTGGAGTTGTGTTGCTTTGTTCATGTCTTAGAAAAAAAAAAAAAAGTAGCATCCATTTTTAGGATTCAGTGTACTAGAGGCTGAAAAGAAAAACAGAGCAGGCATCTGCCCTTCCCCAGACAAGCTTACAGTGTTACTTGAAGGAGGAGAACTAAGACACATGGAAAGGAAAGGGGGAAAAGCAGTTAAAGTACTTGTGGTTGCATATATGCACCTTGTTTAATTTTGCATGTTAATATAACAACAGCAGCCGACACTACAGATTTTAAATAAAATAGTAAATTCAGCTGCCCCTCATTTACACAGAGCCAAATTATGTTCCTCTCAGTCATCACAATGGGCACTCCTATGCTATCCTGCTTTTCAGGCCCTGGATCACTGAAGGCAAATACCCAGTGGGATGCTAGTTCTCGGAGCTGTATGTATCCTGCAGATGGGAGTTCACAAGCCAGTTTGCTGGCTGGAAACTTGTACATGGATCTTGACAATGGAACATATTTATACTGAGTTCTGGTATGCTCCCTAGCACGTTTGATGTTTTGCCTCAGGCTCTGGATACTGTGAGAAATCCTGCCCTACAGCCGCAGTCCATACCCTAGCGAAACACCCAGCTGCTCGTACATTGGTTTTGACCCTTGTGATGGAGAGACACTACTTGCCCAACCTTCATCAAGACGCTTGTACTGTTAAGCACCCTGATACCAAACCCTGCAGTGCATACACAGAATAAAATACAGAGTGAGAATAAAGTAAATGGATCTTTTGGGTTTTGTTTTTTTTTCTGAGGATTGTTTTTTTAAGAATCAAGTTCTGAGGCTTTTTTTTTTTTTTTTTGAGAACCTGTTTTGAGATTCATAGGCTGAGTTTTTCAAAACCATTGTCTTCATAATCTGTTTAGAATGCAACTTTCACTGCTTTCCACTGCAGCTGCAGGCACTAAGTATTTCTGCAAATCACTCCTTCTAGACCCATGCCAAGGACCTGGAAAATTAATGGCCTCTTCTGTAGCATTCAATTTAAATGACACAGAGATCTCTAGTAGAATCTGAGTCCTTGAGGACAGTGTTCAATTATCTGACTCAAAAGATTGGTTTCTGAATGACTGTAAAGGGCTTGTGGAATAAGTAATCAAGAAATTGGCCTAATTTGGGTAGAGTTCACAGAAATGACAGCTTTACCACTATCCCCATGTTAATTTCAAGTCTCCATACCAAAGGACAGGGGTTCAAAGCTCTAGGAATATGAAAAACCTGCCAGAAGCTTTTAACACAGAACTTTTTTTTACATTAACCTTTATTTTTTTAAATGGCTGGCCTGTTTTGAATGAAGAAAAAGTGAAGAAACAAAACACTGAAGCAGCCACTAACTTGTAAAATTTCAGCCCAAACAATGGCAGTTTGGCAAAGTCGTGATTTTTCTTATGTAGAGGAGTTTGTCTTACAATGGCAAGTGTTTGGCAGCATGGTGAAATGTGATCCTACTCATTCTTCCAATAGTAAAATATGCTGGATTTGAGTTAGCATTTGTACCTACTGAGAGCAGCATCGGCTCTTGTGCAAGTTAACAGAGGAATTGTCCTGCTTTCAGATCAAGCTGTTAGCGAACTGTTATTGCAGATCTTAAGAGACAAATCAAGGCCTTGACCTGACAAATACTGCTTCCAATCAACCTGATACATGCTAATAAAATTCTATGTTTGCATTTTATACAATAAGAATAATTACATTTGTGTGGATATCAAAGCCTTGTGTTCTGTTTCTGGCAGTGGCAAAACCAAAGGTGTGAAAAGTGCAAGCATATCTGGCTGGCTTTCTCAGAGTATTCTCATGATCTTCAATAATTCGCTTGTCAAAGGCTTCCTGAGCCAGACATAGTGGGTTTGTCCTTTACTGGACTTTTTCTGTAACTACTCACTGTGACCTCTAGAGCCTTTGTAAACTCTTTAAGTGTCTGAATACCCTGTTGCAAGGAGTTCCACAGCAGAAGCATGTGAAGAACAGTACATTTCCTTCTTGAGTTTGTGTCCTTGTCATCTCATTTCACATCTCCAGCTCCTTATTGGAAGAGGCAGTAACTACCAGTCTGTTGGGCTTCACCTGTCAGTCTCTAACCACTTCAGTTATGCCTGCAGTGCCATTCAGTTGCATCTCCTGGATCTACGTGTGTATTCATTCCTTAAGAGAACTCCACTTGCTTTGCAGAGCTTGATTTGATTTTCCAGGATTTGTTGCCTTTTTACCAGTATGTTGTATTTGTTCATGTGTCCTCCTACCACCCCTACTGTTACTCAAGCATAAGCTCACTTGCCTGGTGGAGATGTCAAGCTTACTGTAGGACTTTGGACATTGGGAATTAATTGTTAGGAAAGCCATAAAAAAGGCAGAAATCTGTGGTGTGCCTGTCTCCTGCGTACTATACAAAAGATAGATGTAGAATGACAAAAATACAGGACAAGGCAATGAATATGAAAATAAGTAGTGAAATGGCTTCCATGGAAGGAAGGGCTAAGTAGCCTGGTAAGAGACTACAATAGAGGTTTCATGTCACATATGAGATCAGAAAGGAATCATGAGTGGCATAGATGGGATGAAGAGGAAGCAAAATCATTAGCTGAGAGAAAAGAGAAATAGTGGGATATGGGTTCAGAACAAGCTAAAAGAAAGCAGTTGTTAATAAAATGTAAAATTAAGCTGTGGATCTCCTTGCCATGGGGTAGTGTGAGTAAAAAAGCTTACGTGGGCACAAGAGGGGCCTACCAAATTAGTGTCTAGCTTGGGAAGTCCCTTAATCACAAATGGTGATACTACCGAAAATACTTTATGCTTGCCTCCCTCATGATCTGCTGTTGGCTGGTACAAGAGCAAGGATGCTGGGCTGTAATGGGCTTCTGCTCTGACCTGCTAGGACCATCATTGTGTTCTGATGAGTATGCAAGCACCCAGAACTGGAACAAATCACCCAGAACTGGAACGAATCACCCTGCCTGAGCCAAATGCCTTACTGACACAGAAGCCATGCCTGTCTCTGTAAACCTACATAGATTCACTTGCAAGCTAGTTACATTTTTTTCTTCTAATCACATCCCTGTCTTCTGACATGTAAATTTAAAGCCAGTGTTGGGTTGCTTAGGAACCCCTTTAATTTCCAGCCTAAAGTTACTTTCAATAAGCTTACACTTACTCTTTATGCCAGCCTTGCTGATTGTCTCATTGGCATACTTACGACTTTTTTTTTTTTTTTTTTAACTTCTGGTCCGATGTTTTGTTGTGCTATCCCAAATAAATTTTTGAGAATATGTATTACCAATTTATACATGGTGTTCCAGCAAGATCTTGATAGTCTGCTATAGTGGCATTTCTTTGTCCCTTTCTGCACTGGAAATACAGCTGCTTTTCCTAATCATTATATTTTCTTTCATCTGAAGCGCCTTTTTAGTGATTTTTACTAGCTGCTTACAGGATGGTTATACACAAACATTTTTCTTCTCTGCTGCTTCCAGCTGATGATTGGTCACTTTTCAGCAGAACTCCCTACTTTCTATTACTCTGTCTTTTGCTGTTACTTTTCACCTCTCTTCTTTCACTGCTGTCCTTAAGGTCTGTTTCTGTTTTTCTCACGTGTTTCAGTCTGCACTGTACTTCTGGTACCTCCTAGTCTTGTATTTTCTACACATTTTGGTAGTGCTCATTTAAAAGCATAAAAAAAATGAAAATGTTGAATCAAAAAAGACTGAAGACTAGTCCTGGCAGGAGTCCATAAATAACATCCTTCCACCTTTCAGAAAGAAATCGTTGTCATCTCTTCTTGATCTGCTCTTTTTCCTGCCATACTGTTCTTGAACTAACCCTTCTCAACTCAACAAACTACTGTTCAGGTGGTAATGTATCAGATTTCTTGCCAAGTGAGACTTGAACTCTTGTGCTTCCTTTGTATAAGGAATATTTTGCCATGTTGAAGAAAAGTTGGATGTTTGACATGGTTCAACTTTTAAGAATCATGTTACATTTTATTCGATTTTCTCTTTACCTTCATGTTTTCATTCTTTCTTTGAAAACATGCTCCAAGTAAGAGGGCATGCTGTCATTAGGAATTGTATGTCCAGATTACTTTTCTCTACCTTTCCTCAGTATTGAAATGAGACAAAAAGTGTTTGCTTGGATTTGATGCTGTTTTAAGACTCCTCCATCTCATCACATGGCAGACTTGATTTCTGTTAAATCAGAACATAGTATTTCAGTATGAAAGGTAAGGTTATATACGTACAGGTGATACTTTTCAGATTGACCTTTCAGAACCCCCTGTGTTGGTCTCCATGGTTGGTAGCCAACTCTGATGCAGAGGACTGTAAACTTACCTGTTTTCACTGTGGTAGAAATAGCGAGTTGAAACAATTGGCCAGTGCTTCTGTCTGTTGTGATTGTGGATGTTTGGCTTAGTTCTGACCAGGTTTATTCAAAGAAATCTGTGCACTGCCAGTAATACTGTGCTTAGTCACTTAGTACCTCTCATCACTCCTGCTAAGGTGAGAGCATCTATCTCACTGTGTTGTGATACTCCGTTAGTCTGTTGTGCTCAATCTATTCTGCCAGGCTGGTTCCCCTCACTGCCCTCCTGGGCCTTGGGTCTGCGAGACAGAGGTGCTGCCAAATCTCCTTGTTTAGTAGGGTGCTGAAATTTCTGCTGTTCTGATTCTGAACAGCTGCTCACTCCAGTTAGTGCCAGGACAAAATCTGCAGTTGCAGTTTCTCAGTGATTGGAGGTTGGGCTAGAGCTGTGGGAATTCCAGGCTGCTCACCCCTGTACCTGAGACAGCTCTTCTCTGCCTCCTCTTGTGCTGGCACCAAGGTACTCCAAAATTAGACTGCAGTGGAACAGCATTTTTTTCTGTAGGGTTAATCTGGCTCGTTTATCTCTCTGGTCTGATACTGTGTGGCCAGACAAGCACAGTGCAAGAAGGAAAGGGAGGGAGGGAGGAAGAAGCACTGTACCTAGAACTGTTTCAGTGTGGAGGCAGTCCTAAAATGCCTAAAGGGCTGGACAGGCTGACAGAGGGCTGCCCTGTGTTCTTTTTAACGTGGCAGCTGGACAGATGTGTCCATCTCCACCCCAAAGTGTTCACCAAGGTGCTGTGCTAGAGCTCTTGCCCTCTGCCTCTGAACTGCTCATGGGCACTCGAGCCTGGCACTGCTTTCACTGCACAGCCCAGCCAGGAGGGGAGCTTGTGTCTGGCCAGCTCAGGGTGTTGGCTGGGCACTGCTGCCTCTGCCTATGGACATACCAGAGCTTGCTTGGGTGGAGTTACCTAATTCTGGAGGTGGCTGCTTTGCTTTTGGGATTGGGTCCAGAGATGAGAAAGTAACTGCTGAAGCTGCTTGCCAGGGCAGCTATCAAATCTGATGAGGGATCAGGCCTTGGGGTTAACTGGCAGCAATTATCTGTACCAGAGCTATATCCATGCTGAGTGATTCTTCAGTGTTTTCTTTTGTGTTGGTTTTGTTGGTTCTTTAAAAAGTGATGTCTCAGTGCTGGTTTCTGTGGCATGGTAATTCACGGGAATTATCAACACTTGTCTTTGCAAGTACAGGCTTTTGGGTACAACCAGTGGAGTTTTGGTGACAACTGTGGTAATAATGAGACTGAAATACAGATGCCTGACATTTTCTCATCTTCTGTTCTGGGTTACAGGCTCCTCTGAAAGCACATGTCTTCTTTGGTAAAGAAACAAAATTATTTCAGAAAGGGACATGTTGAAGTTAATCAGGCACTTGTACCAGTTTTGGTAGTATTATGTTGTTTTCTTAGCTATTCCTTCACATAACCCAAACTCTCTTTGACCATTTTATAGCTGGCACTTTAGCAGAGGTTTCTCCCCAGCTCTAGTCATGGCAGCAGCCTGTGGCGGGGCTACAAGAGAAGAGTTTTTTTGGGGAGAGGGATGATAGATTGTCATTGCTACAGGTCAGGAAGGAGTGTGTGGTAGATAACATATAAGAAGTCTGCCTTAATAAGATGAGCTTCCAGCTCTCTCTGCTGGAGAACTGGATGCATACCTTTCTTGACTCCTGCAGATTCTGTGATATGATAGGAGGCAGGAAAGAAACGTAATTTCTGCAGCCGAGTTTCAGTGTGTTACTTTCTCACGTGTTCTTAATGATAGAAAGCTTGGGTGGATGCCATGCTGTCAGACTGTATTGCACATCATTGGCTGATTGTGAATCCGCACTTAGTGTTCACAAGTATTTCTTTTTTTCTTAAAGACTGCTTGTTTGTGCAGTTGGAAACACTGGTATCATGGGCACAGGTCTCCACATCTCCCTTTTCTGCCCTCTGGTACTTAGATTTGGGTAAACAGGGCAGCTGCAGTTTGAAATTTATCGTTGTAACATATCTGGTAGCAGGTTGATTATTTTTTCTCTTTATTGCTAAAACAAGTACCATAGACTACACTAGATCTGCTTCAGGTAAGTCTGCCCATTATTGTGTGCAATTCACCAAGTGCTTTAAAGGATTAGTAGATACTATATTTTAAGAGATTGATTAGTGGTAGGAAGTAAGGCTGCCAGTGAAATTTTTTTCTTCTCGAGTCCAAATGCAAAGATCTCTTACTAAAATTTATCCAGTTGTTTAGCTTTTCTTAACAGAAGGTTCATAGGTCACAGAAACAAGCGTAGTATGAAATTTCAAACCCAGCAGTCACCTGCTTTTAAAGCAAAATAGTAATATTCCCTCATTTTAGAAGGCAGTGCAGTTATTTAGCTACTGCTTTGTGCTGTCAAAATATGCCCCTGTTTGTCTACATTTGTGTGTATTCTGAATGGATTTGATTTTTGTTTTGCTAGTTTTATTTTTAGCAGTAGAAGCCCATACAGGTTC